TGGGAATATAACGAGCTCAACAACGACATCAACAACAACGACATCAGAAACGACATCTACAACAACAACGACATCAACACCAAATGGGAATATAACGAGCTCAACAACGACATCAATACCGGGAACTGATACAACGGATTCAACAACGACATCAACACCGGGAACTGATACAACGGATTCAACAATGACCACAGGGCCAGGTGCTACCTCAACTTGTTCGTCAGATGATTTATTGAAAATGAGGGATGATTTATTGAAAATGAGAGATGATTTATCAAGATGGCGTACGGCAGCTATTATTGCTTTTATCATTGCTGGATTCTTACTGCTGGCTACTATTTGTCTTATTGTTTTCTCAACCTTAGTAGTTTTACAAAATCGACATAGTAATACTGATGATTAATATGTCTACATGTGGGCTAAATAAATATGCACACTTATTGGATCATAAATACTGCATGTCATAATGAGAAAGAAAATCTAATATTTTACCTTTTTATTTTCTCTATGTATAATCTTCATATAATACTTTTTTGTTTTTTTTTCGTGTGTCTTATATCACTAAAAAGTATGTTGACATTTGGATTCTAAATTCATGAAGAAAAAAAAGCATCTATCAGTTGGAATGATAAAAAGAACGAATAGAATCAACTTGTTTTGAATGTATAGAATTACTACAACTATTCAGCATCTTTTGGTTAAACGACTTGTTCACGTGACACGACACTTCTCTGATTAAGTTTTTTGAAAAATTTTTTTTTTAGATGGCCAGATCTGGATTCATTATGAAATTCAGTTTTTCACAATAATTATGAATTTGATGTTTGTTCTTTAAGAAAATTGAATTTTGGCATCAAAATCGGTTTTAAACTTTTCAAAAATCGTATATTATATTTCCTAACAACGGGTTTTTTTCAAAAAATGCTGAGTAACATACTATTCGATGCAGAACCTAATTCTCTAGAAAATGGCCAATTTATTTTTTACTTTCGTTACTAAGAATAACTGGTACATTCTTGTACATTTTTCGACTTACTGTACAGTTAATGAATCCTTTCCTCTCGTTTTGATGTAACAATTTGATTCTTGCGTAGAACGATTAGATATACGGAAAAGATCAATATGTCTGAAAATCAAGTATTTTTGAGCACATTAAGTGTCTCGTTCCAAGAGATTGTAAAGTACATTTATATATTAAAATAGTATAGAAAAAATGCGCACTAAATAACAACATCTAATGTTCATTTTAAAGGATAATTACAAGAGAAAGAAATAGAAAAAACATATGGGATAGTTCAAATTAACTTTAATGAGAACAATGTTGAAATAGATTTTTAGTAACTATGTGATTATTTAATCCACTAAATTACAATTTGCAATTAGAAGACATATTATCCTTTCAATGTGTAAATATCGTTAAGCTACACTCGTATTCGGTATCAGAATAGCCTATTATCACTAATACTCAAACATGTGTACATCAGTTGAATTCACTTCTACCGCAATAGTTTAGCCCGTAATGATATTATACGGTTGCTTCTATATTCGAGATCGGCAAAACGATGAAAAAACTAACTGGCGTTATGAAAACTATAAAAAATTTAATTGTCATTATTGCACATGATCCAATCAAAATATTACTAAGAAAATTCCATGAAAATCTCGTCGAGTGTGCAAACAATATACAAGAGTCAACTGATACTGTTTTATCACAGTTACTCGATTGAGCACGTTCACCTCATTAAATTAGAATATCTGGATAGAACATGAATACTTGTAACATTTTATGTGTCAATACGATAATCAAAATGAATTGTTCTTCGTTTGCCTTCTTTATACATCTACATATTTCAGCTTATGATTGTGAATATAAAGTAAAAATTATTATTTGTTTTATCTTTTTCCTTTTTTCTAATTGTGTATCGAAGTGAAAATTAGGTTTTGTTATTTCGTGTGTATCTTTTTGGATCGTAAGTTCAAGGTTCTAATTATTAACTATAAGATCCAACACAGGTAGTATGAGTTTCTGATGTCGATCTAGCCATTAGTCATGGTTTTCAATTTGAACTTCAGGATGAAAATAATGTAATTTTATGCAATAAAATATGTACTTTAAAAGATCAGATTATAATTAAAAGTTAATTGTTTAATAGGATCGTCTTGGTAGATCAAACGGATATGTTAGACTTAAAATATTTCTTATAGAGTGTAATCAATCATGGATTTACATGATCTTGATATAATGCAGATGTTTTAACTGATGAGATGTACGGATAGATATCACACATTGAGAATAGATATTTGAACAAGAAAATATCAACACGAAATATATTGCTCAAATTTTCTTATAGAATATTACAATATCATATGCATATGTGAGTAGTTTTAGTCAATTTTCTGACAAAATAAATCTTCATATCTATTGAATCGCTTGTGTTTTTTTCGTTTAGATTTGATACAAATAATATGATGGATCTAGTTCAGAAGCGTATAGGTATTTGTATGCTGAAAATAGGCTTTTCTATGCATACAAAGAAATGAGCATGAAAAAAAATTAGTCAACTCTCGATATATTTTAACTGAAAGTAGACATACAGCAAAGCAAAAAAAATATTCGCATATCTGTAAGATTTGTTTTTGCATTTTTGGACTTGCGTAAGAACAACAAAAGATGAAAGTTTTTCCTGATTGATGAGCGTCGGCCCATCGCTTTTTTTTTGGTATTCTGCATGATATAAGAATTAAAAATCAAGATTATTGCTTCAACTTCTAGGAACCTATATCATAAAACTATACTACATTTTAAATTATCCAGAACGAAACTCTTTTCTCTTTTATACATCATTCTATTTCTTTTAAAATCCTTTTGACAAGCAACTGATTGTCTTCTAATCTTATAGCTATCAGATTTTATAATCTGTCTATTTCAAATGTTACAATTTATTTTCAATATTCATTAATTTATTGTAGACAAAAAAAAACTAAACTTGAAATTTTTACTAATATGTGTTATAAAATGACCAAACAATAATCAATTAATATCTTCTATAACAAATAATTTATATTGTCATAAGCGAAAGAACAATAATCATGAATACACAATATGTAATAAATAGAATATCATCAAGGAACGAAAAAAAATCAAGTCTCTTCACAACAGCGAAAATAATAAAAATATGTCATTAACTCTTTCGCGACAGGTGTTCTATATATAGAACGGTGACATTTTTCCTTTGATACAGATACTAAAATTATACTCGAAGTGTAAATTGATATTAGTACCTAACGAGTTCTGTCTATTATAACGAAAGATAGACTGGAGACGACGAAAGTTTTGCAGCAAACATGCACTTTTAATGCAAAACTTTCAACATCCGTTCACGGTTTGCCTAAAAAATCTCGAAAAAAGTAAGTTTTTTAGCTCTGTAGGTCTTATACTTCTACATTCTCTCTCCTTTCTTTCCCTCTGTCAGTGTTATACTATGGCACCTCACGATTCGTGACCGAAGCAGGAAACAAAAACGAGCTACGAATGCAGGAAATGTAATATTAGCTTAGGCGTAACGTTCCGTTTAGAGACCTATCATATATTCAGATACTTCTAATAAAAATTATATTTTAAAGGGTGGAGTCCATTAGATGCTGTGACTTCTACCAATGGAAAAGACGACTTTGACTTCTAAACGTACAAGATTTTTACAGATTGTAATAGGGACTATTGTTCCATTAGATACGAACAAATTTTTCACTAAAAATAACTCCGTCATGAATGGATTGATCAGCACATACATTCTATTTGATTACATAAAATCAATTTTTGAATATGGGCTAAGAAAAACTTATCCATACCCTCTTGTCAATTTTTTTAATAACAGTTCTGCTCAATTTTGATTGTTCTATCCGACGCCATCATTAAATTTCATCGAATCTAAACATGAGATTCAGAATTCGCTGAAATTTATGCGTTTTCAGAGAAAATCTGGCCAATTGCTGGAGCTTCAATTCACAAATAACGTATGTGTAGTATTGAGACCCTACAAATTCATGTTAACCGTGCTCAATTTTGAATGCTGAATCCGATGTAATCCCATGATTTTGTTGAAAAGTTAAAAAAGATTACGGAATTGATCGAAGTTTTTTTTTCAGAACCAATAAATTTCGACCAACTCTGAATCTTATGTTTTAGATTCGATGAAATCTAATGATAACATCGGATAGAGCAATTAAAACTGATCAGAACTGTTATTAAAAAAAAAAAAACTTGACAGGGCAATGAGTTCTCAACACTAAGGAAAAGTCATCTTTGAAACCACTATCTGGGAATCCTTAAGTTGAATACTATCCTGAAGTGTTTAAGTTAAATATTAGGAAGATATTCTAGCTCAATATACACTGATAGATGTGTACAAAGATGTTTATATTTTTTTCATAATCTGATGTCATCACTTTCAATTCTGAGAACTATTTTGAATTTTTATGTTGAGACTTATAGTTTCTAATGGTTGCAAAGATTGTAAGTAAAAACAAAAAAAGTTAGAACTGTATAAGAATCGTTTTCATAGTGTTGTTCGAACAATAAATAGGCACAAATATGTTTTGCTACGTATTTACAGAGACAACTTGTCTTCTTAACGATGGATAGACAAATTATTTTTTGTAGTAAGAAAAAGAAAAGTATTAAAAGAGAATGTAACGAAAAACTAATATTGTTGATCAAATAATCTCATTAGAGCTATCAAAATCTTCAATCTTTTTTTTGTCACTGAATTTATCAACGAAAGATCTTTTCCATGAAAACAATATTTCATGCAAAGAAAAAAGAAATTCAATAGGCAAACAAAGATTATCATACATTTTCTATAAAGTATTAATCATAATTATTTTTAAGCAAAGATATCATATGTTATTACTTGTTAAAACAATGAGAAAATCTTACTTTCGACTGAAAAATCATCGAAGTTCATTAGCAATTCATAATAATAACTATCAAAGAATACATTGCTTTTTTGATTTCTTACCAGAAATCGTTTTCGTACTGATCAATCGCTTTTGAATTCAGACTCTGTGTATAAGATCGACTTCGATGAGACATGAAAAATCTCAAAAGGATAAGTCCTCTTAGAGCTTCTGTTTAGAGTTATAGATATTTTACTAGAAATTTAGTCTCTGGCTTGATATTTTTGTTTCTTAGTAATTCTCTTCCTGAAAATACTGTTATTATTATTTGTGACGTTTCAGCAAGTCGATGCTGCCTTCTTCAGACTTTATTAATAGAAATAAGTTAACATTCAGTGTTTAAGGGGGGCCCCCCCCTTAGAAAATCGAATTTTTCAAGGGAATATCGAAGTTGAGTTTTTATCACAGGAAGATGCGGCGAAGCTTCCTCTTTCAGAATATATATAG